CACTTTCTTACTCAGGAGGAAGCAGCAGCTAGACAAAAGAGACCCTGGCAGATTATTTTATGAGAATGAAGGCATGAGCTGTTTCACGTAGTTTGTCTGTAACCTTTTTTTGGTCTTTCTTCTATATCTAAGTCTTTAAAGGAAATAGTCGAAGTAAGTAACTTTTGGTGGCAAGCTTGATCAGTTAAGCCTTCTCCATTAGCTGTGTCATAGAAGTGGTTTCTTGTCCCAGGTCTACTGATAACTAGCTGTAGGAGCCTTGAGAAATCAGCTAGCTTCCTTGTGAACCCCATTGTTTATGGGGGGCAGGGTCTATTTCACAATTTTAACACAAAGGAATGGCTTCCAGAACTACATCTGTTATATGGAATGTGATGAAGTAAAAATTTGAGTTCATTCCTTTCTATCATTCATGTATTCTCTTTACCCTCCCCCCACCCAAGGGGAAAAAAAAAAGACCCATCATCATCAATCACTGGATTCCATTTAGAAGCCTTGAAATTTAGTTAGTAGAACATTTGGCCTTGTTAGTAAGAAGTCTTGGGTTCTACTCTTGGTTCTTTCACTTACTACTAGCTATTTGACTTTGGGTACGTCACTTTTTCCCCTTTGACCTCAGTTTCTGCATCTGTAAAGTGGGGATGATATTCATAATATCCTGCCTACCTCACAAGATTATTGTGAGGATTAAGTGATATCAGACCTTCAAAAATATTTTTAAAGGCAAGTAACTGTCCAAGTGTAAACTGCTATCATTGTTATTATCATTGTTTTTATTATTGCAGTCACCATGATTTAGTCCTTCCCTTCCATATTGTATAGCTTGTGAATTGATTCAAGCAAGTATTACTTACATTGGATGGTTCCAGTCCAGGAAACTTTTATATGTTGAACGTACCTAGGTATTTTCATGGTGTCTTCCCGTAAGCTTCTTGAGGGCAGCAGAATCATGTTATTTGATTAGCATCGTGCCTGGAACATATCAAGCAATTAATAAATGCTTGTTGACTGAGTACCTATTATGTGCAGCACACTGGGTTAGGCACTGAAGGGAATACAAAGGTGAATGAAATGCTATTCCTTTCTATTTGGAACACACAGCCTAGCAGAAGAGTTAAGATGTGCACACAGAAATAAAGTACAAAGTAGAGGATGAAACTTTAGATTCAATAAACATACAAATTCTCATTATCCTAAGTAATGTAAGCTGTGTTAGCAGGATTGTGTGTGTGTGTGTGTGTGTGTGTGTGTGTATACATATGAATGTGCATCTATGTGGATACACATGACCAGTCACTGTTATTAATGCTATCATTATATATTAAGATATTGAAAAAGTAGAATGGGGTGTCTAATAAAAGTTCTTCATACCTTAAATATACATCTGGAACTGTTTGAACTAAGTAAAAGTAAAATAAATGCCACAGCATATTATAGCATTCTTTTTTTTCCTATTTAAAAAAGGAAATGGAAAACATACCACTTTTACAAAGACCTGACATTGAATTGGATATTGAAATGGTATCAGTAATGTATTTATATATGCCATATTTTCTTCCATGCATTAACTTTCCTTGGTACTTTTGACCTGGATGTGTGCCATGTGGGCTGAAATGTTACCATATATGAAAGATTGTCTTGTTTAAAAATGGCCTAAATCATTTAGGTTAAGAGAAGTAAGGTTGATCCATTTCACTATGCATACCTCTTCAACATATACTTTTCTATCACTGTCTCATAGATTTTTGGCTCTTCTTACAGTAAATATCACTGTTCACCTAAATTAACTAAATATAGTTGTAAAAATAACTCATAAAAATTGAATGTAAAATAAGAACACTATAATTTCATAAACCAGATATCTACACATGAAATGTCATAATTTAAAGTTGGTTTTACCATATTCTCTAATTCAAAAAGGAGTTAAATGCTTCTGTGATTAAATCATAGCTTGTGCTCATTGCTATAAAAGTTTCAAGTGTGTGTGTGTTTCAGAATTTTAAAAGAATATAATGCAAAACAAATGTAATAGATATCAGCATACTTGAAACACATTTTCTGAATTTATTTTAACTCTGCACCAGAAAGGGGGGGAGGGGGAGAGTAAGTATTGGTACTGGTTTGTTATTTCACCATCTCTCTCCAAGAGTGATTGCATCCAGTAAGGCAGAATAAGTTACAGATGGACTTCACTTTGTCCAAGTTTGCTGTACTTTTTGGGTTGAAGTTCCATTTGATTAAAATGAAATTAGCCATCACAGAACCTTTGCTAATGTCAACACTCTGAAGTGTCATCTATATATACCTGGTGGTGGCTTCTGGCTGTGTTTTTAGAATTAGAGTTTTTGTTTAGAAAAGCTGAAAATTTTTGAGAAGCAACTACTTCGGGGATTTATTTATTTTTCTCAGCAAGGGTATATATACTAAGCGTTTTTAGGAAGTAATCATTTGGAAAATTTGGGTAAAGGCAAGTGTTAAAAAAAAACCTTTCAGATGTTAAGAGTATGCCTATAATGAACAAAAAAGGGGAAAAAAAATCCAAGAGTGATTCCAAGTTGTTGTTTTTTTAATTGTCATTAGTAAGCAAACCAGAGAGGTGTGCTGATTCTTTATAAGCTGGAGCTGTCCCTTGCTAAAAAACAAATAAACAAAAGCACCCCCGCTTTTGAGTGTAATAATTTTTCCTTTTCCTTCTCTTTTTCTTCCATTATCATTTAATCCTCCTTCTCTGGACTTCCTTACTCCATTAGTTCCTCTCTCATATATTTTTTTTTCTTTTTCTTCCCTCTCCTTCAGCCTTGCCCCACCCCCTTCCTTTCCCCGTCTGTGCACCCACGTGCTTCAAATCTGTGTATCTGGACTGCCTTCTCTAACAGTTCAATATGAGTGTTAGCAGAATGAAAACCAGATGGACCAGCCGTTCCCACTGTTATCTCCCAACCAGCTCTGGCAAGCCTCCCTTTCTCCCTCCTTTCTTGGCATGACAGAAATATTTGCCTTTATTTAGGAAGGTCTGTATTTGCTGCTGTACTCTTCCCTCAGTTGCAACATAAGCTGAAAGCTATTTATTCCCTTGTTGCTGAGGTTGGTTGAGGTGAGTAAAATGTGAGATGAATTTAACTATTGCAGAAGCAAATTTGAGCTTAGCCTCTATGAATATTTATTTAGAATAAATTTTTTGTAGATGAAATGCTCTAGCTTAGTAATAAGAAGATAAGTTTGTGATCTAAGTAACAAGATAAAAAAAATTTTTCATATGTACGTCTACCACCAATTGCATACACTTTCACTAATCTGTAAGGACATTTCCTATCTTTTAGTCAACATTTTGGACTTTGAAGTTGCATTGCTTATGCCATAAACCAGAGCGATGAAATTTTTTTTTTTATTAATTGTTGTGACTGTTAGGTTATTTGAATATTCCATCATATCCTCTCCCTAATACAATATTACCATTATTTCAACATAAATGAAGATTACTAAAGGGACTTTGAGAAAAAAAAATTCTGTGGTGATCTGAATATGAGGTGATTTTGTGAAAGGGCCACAATTTACAAATCTGGAATTTTCTTTTCCATTTATTAATAATAATGATCATGTTGGGTATTTCTCCTAAATGAATTAATAACAATTATCTGAAAAAAGTAGTAGTGTTTTTTAAAAATAATTCTCCATCAGTATTTTCTGTTATTTTGCTTTTAAAATGAAGTTTAAACATGTAGTATTAGTTCTTATTTAAGGAGAAGAGATAGCATTTTACACCTTGGGGATATTTTCCCCCTACAGACAATTAGGCAATTTGCAAGATTACAAAATAAAAATTCTTTGATATTTCTGGCATATGGTTTATGGGGGTACCTGTTACTTTACAGAGAACATTTGATTGATAAAAGTAAAATAGAATTAGATTAATGAGAACCTTTAACATTTGGTAGGAAAGGTGTATCATTTAGGAAAATGCATTATTGAAAGATTCCCCTTAATTATTGATTAACATTAGATATGAGGCATTTATTAGTGGGAGAGTATAGTAAGTTCACTTACTATACAATGGGTACTATGTTTTTATATTCAAGATAAATCATCTTTTTATTCTTTAACACCTTCAAAACAGCCTAGGAGAGCAAGGAAAGCAGCTGAATAGGATCTAATCTTTTTCCCCTTCTTATTGATATAGAAGGTTCTTATTTGATCCACATGTAGTGTGAGTTTTCTTTAACTTTTCCATGTTTCTTAGAATTAAGATTCATTCTTCCTCCCCGAGTACCCTCCTCCTGCCTCCATCAAAATTGTAAATTGAAGTAGTGCAACCAACCTCCTGTAATAATGGCATATAAACACATGACTACTAAATAAAGAAAAGATAGCTTTCATTATGTGGCATATGGTATTTATTTATTGATGCTTTTAGAATAGGACAGGAAAAGAAATTGGAGTGGAAAATATGTCCAGGAGACATGGAGTATTTAACCTGCTCTAAAAACAAAAGATGGCAGCGGCAGCAGGTGTTACAGAGAGTAGTCACAAAGAAGGCTGACTCCTACAAATATCTCACCTGTACAACAAAGCAGGAGGCTTTAGTTTTTCCTGAGTTGTCGTAAGGGGGATTCATTGCTATCCTTCCTTCTCATCCATTTATTCCTGCTTGCTAATGTTGGCTGCAAATTGTCAGTGAAGTTGCGTTATCCCATCCAGTACTATCAAGGTAGCATCTGCACGTGCCAGAAATAAATATAGAAGATAATATAGCCTAGTTACAAATGAGGGCCTACCATCTGTGTTACACCTTCTTAAGTGAGGTTTTGATGATGCAATTCCATTTTTGAGCTTCAGTAGATAGGCTTGTTTTATCCACAAAAAAAATCAATCTTTTTTTATTCATGGCACAGCCTCTTTGAGGGGAATTGGGAGGTGGGACGAGAGGTGGGGAGAGTTAACCTCATGTGAAGATTTGCTATGCTTAAAAGGTAAAATAATATATTCCTTGTGGTATCTTACAGATCGCAGTGAGAAGCATTCCACAATGCCAGACTCACCTGTCGATGTGAAGACACAATCCCGACTGACGCCTCCGACAATGCCACCTCCTCCAACGACCCAAGGAGCGCCAAGAAGCAGTTCATTCACACCCACAACATGTAATTAACCTAGTTTCTTCCTTTCTTCTGTTTTTTTTTTTCATTCTGCATTTTTTTTTACATGGATAGGGAAACAAAAGCTCCGACATCAATGTATAATATATAATAGTGCAACTCCCACCATCCCCCCCCCCAAAAAAATCCCCATAATACCTATTTTGACTTAGGTCAATAACTTGTGGTTCATCTCTTTTTTCTTAATTGCTTTATTATCTCTCATTTGGTTGTACTTTTTAAAATTTAGAAACCTACCTTTAAACATAGGTTATCTTGATCTCGTAACTTATTCTTGAACAACCAATTTAGTATATTGCTATTCCTTTGGATTTGTTTGGCTTTGCTTTATTCTTGGGGATATGCTAAAATCATTCCAAGGTCATTTCATATCTGTACCAGGTGTCCCCTTCCCCCCAACTAAACCAATTAGGTCTTCTTTTTTAGTCTCTTACAAATAATAGGGGCCACACGATTTTATCATATTAGGGCATTGCGAAGTATAGGAATATTACATGGTCAAGTTTAAAACAAATAGCATCCTTCTTGATTTAGATTTCTCAGATCTCTGATATCTTCTGCCGGTTTGGCTCTGGCTCTACTTTATGAATCAGTGCATGGAAGTATTTTTGCTTTCTGTTTTCTGGGGGAAGTACAGAACATTCTGACAGTAGAAAATTCCTCTCATCCCCAATGTATTCCAATACATAGTAGGTAGCTCTTTTCAGTCCTTCCCAAGGTTCTGATTGTCAAGGATTTTGTTGAACTAACAAATCACTGTCTATTGAAAATCATACTACTTGTTGAACGTGTGCCATGAAATCCATGTGAATGAAAGAAACCTATAAAAATAAAAGAATTTATGTATTAGTGTCTTCAAAACTGTCAGAGTAGAATTGGCTTTATACCTATCCCAAGCTGTTTACATCATGTCTTAATGTAATTTAACAGACCTTTTAAAACTTATAAGGATTTAGATACCTTGAATGGTGCCAAGCTGTAATGCTGTCAACTTGTGTTGTTTTGGTTTGCTGTTCTCCAATGTCACAGGGAAATGTAGATGACTGTTTTGAGGACCCAAGTTTAGCAGTTATTTCTAGGCGAGTTAGTGATGAATCTTTAGATAAAAATCTGGATTAGTGGTCTTGAACAGGCATGAGTCCTTCGCATTTGGAGAAAGCAAAGTATTGATAGTATTAAAAGAAATTATAAATGAGGAATTGCTTATAATCTGTCAGTTATAGCACCTTGTTTGAGATGAATGTCAGAATGGCACTAGATTGATGAATTCAATGTAGCTTCATCTGACAAATAATTGCCAAGTCACCATTTAAACATTTATTAATTTTGCCATTCCCTTTCCTTAAAGACCTGCATCCTTCTTTCTATCAGAGTCCTTGTAGTGCATTAATGCCTAAGTCAGTTTTATCAGAAATAAATTGAACAAATTGGCATATATCCATACTATGTCTTATTACAACTCTGAATTAGTATGTCCCATTTCAACTCCAGGAAATAAATTCTCAATTAATACAGTATGCATTCTGCCATCTTACAGAAAATTTGCATTATCCCTAAAGAAGTGGTTAAAGAAATATGTGGGGAGAAAATAGCCTTCTAATTGGGTGGTAGAAGGTTAAAACTTGAAAGTCCTGTTTTTATAAACACAGCTGTCAGTTGTGTGTACAAAACACGATTAAAAATGTTCAGTGATAAATTTAGTCTCCACCAAATGTACATTTTTTCTAGAGGAGCCGTTTAGAGAAGAATATTCCTGTTATATTGATAGAAGCCTATGACAAAAGGCTGACATCCAAATGCTGCTTGTTCCATGATTGAAATGTTTCAGGTGGTTGGCATATGTGCACATGGGAGCGAAGGCTGTCCCCACTCTGTAGCAGACTCCATTCATTATCAGCGCCTGTGTGGATATAAGAAGTATTTATTTATGAGGAGTCAGGCCATTTAATCAAGCAGAATTTCAGCCTGGGGTATCTGTGAAGTCAAAGTATTTTACCAAAAGTCAGAACGTTTTTCACATCATAAAAATCAACTAGAAATAAAGTTACCTGTGACTTCCTTTCCACGGAATTTTATTTTCATTTTTCTTCTTGCTTTGTGCTTCTGACAGTAACTAATGGCACAAGCCATTCACCCACAGCTTTGAATGGAGCGCCATCTCCACCCAATGGCTTTAGCAATGGGCCTTCCTCTTCTTCCTCTTCCTCTCTGGCTAATCAGCAGTTACCACCAGCCTGTGGAGCAAGGCAACTCAGCAAATTGAAGAGATTTCTTACTACCTTGCAGCAGTTCGGCAATGACATTTCACCAGAAATAGGGGAAAGAGTACGCACTCTTGTACTAGGATTGGTGGTAAGCAAATGCCAAACAACTTGTTCCCTCTCTACTGCCTGTGAAGGACAATAGCTAATTGGATGCACCCAAACTCATTATTATGGTGGTCTTTAAAGAAGTTTGTTTATATCTCAGAATGTGAAATTGGTTTTGCTGTGACAAATCAATGTTAATGTAGCCCCAAAGTCTAAATGGACCGTGTGTGTGTGTGTGTGTGTGTGTGTGTGTGTGTGTGTTAGTTATATAATTGTATATAAACCCAGTCTATGACTTCATTTGCTATCTGCCTGATAAAGATGGAATGATACAAAATTCTTTTTGGTAAAGAGGTATGTTTGTACATCCAGGTCCCAATTAGTGAGAATAATGAACAATCATCCCTCAGTGATCACAGTATTCGAATTTACACTATTCACAGTATAGTTATATGTAAAATATGATAATTGATTCCAGCCCAAAGTAAATATGCAGTGTGAATTAGCTCTCTGTATATATGCATGTGTATCATGGTTATTATCTACTAACTAAAATAAAATATAATAAAATATAGATTTGGGCCTGTTGATAATTTGCTTATTGAGGTCCTTTCATACAAGGTTTATTGATACGTTGGCATTAGATCCCAAGGCTAACTGCTCCTTTTAAAAGGAAAATTTTGGCCTTAGTGTGAAAAAATACCTAATTAAAATATGAAGTTGAGCTGAGAAGTATACAGAAAGCCTTATTCTACTAATATGTTGATTAATTATATAATTGATGCCACTGGAAACTAACCACCTCTTAATAATGATGCCTCAAGTTTATATAATGTTACCACTTTTACTGGAGCCTTTGCAATTTAAGGCATGTTCTCATATGTTTTTGTTGATTTTATTTTTCACTTGCGAATATTATTCTCATTTTGAGCAATAGGGTCAAGAACTTTTAAGTATCTTGTGCAAGGTTCCATGGCTAAGAAGTGGTAGAACTTGGAACAGGACCCTGGTCTTCTGACTTCTTCCAGTGATCTTTCTACTAAACTAGTGGGCCTCTTACTACTTTTCCTTCTGAGGTTCTCCAAACTCTTCATATACACAGTCATTTTCTGTAATTTAGTGAGACCTAAGGCATTATTCCCAATTTAAAAACCAAAAGGGGAAACTGTGCTTGAATAAAGTCACAGTATCAGTTTGCAATGTAATGGCCAAAATGATTCTGAAATTCACATCTTTCTCCTGGGCTTGTGCCCTTTTAACTAAATAATGCTTCTTTCATTATATGGGCTTGACCTGGGTTAAGCCATATTAGATGTGTCTTGCAAAAAATCTCTATAGAGGAGATTCTTGTTCAGGTGCAATTTGGATTGGATGGCCTCTGGGGACCTTTCTGACTCTGAGATTCCATGATGTAGTGTCAAAGATTTGGGGATTGTAGTCCTCATAGATATTCATGAGCAAGGAAATCGGGACAGAGACGTATCTATCCTATCTCAGGCCTTCTAACTAATGGGCAAGCTATTTTTATTAAGTTAGAGTTCATTTTTGGAGCTTGGAAAAAAAGTAGTATTTTATAAACAAATGAGCATGAACAAAATTTCACCATCAAGTCTAATCCCAAACTTTCTTTTTATTCAAGTATGTTCCTATTCTTTATTTTTTGATAAGGAATAGAGAATGTATTTACCATCTTGTACATCTGTTGATACATTCTTGGTTAACATTGGCTTACAGACAAATTTATATCACAGAATCTACCTTAGCTGCCATCTAGTCTTTCACATATTGATTGTTAGGATTGTTGGAGAAAATTTCTCCTGGGAAAACTTAATAATTTTTCTAAGTTACTCAGTGAAAACAAATTACCAAAGCTAATTTTATAGTATCTGAAGATAACACCAATCCAAGTGGTTCTCAAATAGAATAAATAAGTTGTCAGATAAACCTGAATAGTTCCATTTTAAGAAGATGCTATGAGGGGACTGGGTTTTAGACAACAGTCCACTGAATACGAAGGAAGGGATAGATAAAATAGGTAATTCCTACTTCCTTCTCCCTAATTTTAAAGCTGTGCACATCAGATTAATATTTGGTAGGCATTTGTGTCCTTTAATCAGCTGTGTATATATTCCCTACAGGAGTACTCAATGTTTCTATTACCTTTTTTTTTTAAATAGTTTAGTACACATAGACAAAAGAGAAAATGGAAAGTTATTGTGTATGGATTTAGATTACCAGACCCTCATTTTTTTTAAGAGCCGGATGACTCCTAACCAAGAGAACTCTGTTTAAATGTAAATTTTTCTGGTTTCCATGGAAGAAAAAAATTATATTTGACCCTCACTAAGGACAACATTTATAAGGAACACAGTTTTGGTTTTGTTGGTTTGCTGTTGTTGTTAGTATAATATAATGGATAGAGTGCTAGCCTGGGAGTCAAAACTACCTGGGTTCTATCAAGCTTCTGGACATGTACGGGCTGTGTGATACCCTGAGCAAGTCTAATAAATTCCCATTGCCTCAGGCAACTCTTAAGAT